ACCGGCTATCGCCCAGCACCGGCACCCGCACAGTATCGGCGCACACACAGCACGGCAACGTATAGGTACTGTATGCATTATACCGTCACTACTCGCAAACAAATATAAATTGTACGATTACTGTACCTTGTACTCATATGGGCAGAACGCGGCAACAGCATGCTGTCTGATTGAGATCAGAAAGAATCCGGCTGCAAGCATGCATCCTGTCTGTTCAGCCACCGAACTTTGGGGCAGAAACAACTTATTTTTCTGATTAAAAGTACAGATAAGTTGTACTTAATCCAAAGAAAATTCAGTATTAGGTGCGCATCCTGTAACCAACACAGTTTATATACCTGCCTTCAAATGCATCGGAGGCGAGTAAAGTAGTAAAAGTGCGGCTTGAATCGGGTATGAATACTTAGAGGTCAGGCAGGCAGTGACTTGGCGATAGGCTGTCTGCGCCCTGCATTCGCACACATTTGGACTACCTCTACGAATTACATAAGGCCCACTCAAATTCATAATTCGACCTACGTAAAAATCATAATTTCATATCAGATCGATAACGAGCATGGGTAGCATGAAAAATTAATAAGATGTGCAATCTGTTTTGAAAAATTCTAAGCGGTTGAGGCTGTAGGCCTTACCGTACGCTCGGGCTCTTATTTAGAACTTGACGCCTTTAACGCAAACGTGCCGAAAGGTGCTGAATTGCAGATGCTGCAGATTTTAGCGAGTCGCATCACTATTAACTATCCACCTTGCTTCTACCTTCACCGCACCGTACCGCACTGGTCATCGCAACGCAATGGACCACACCGGACCCAGCATCATGACGCAACGCCCACACACAGCACTGCAACGTACATGTAAGGTAGACTAATCAGCCACGTACTCTATGTATTGTACTACGACTATGCGCAAAAAATATATCTTGTACGAATAGAGTGTACTTTGCACTTATATAGTCAGAGCGCGCCAACACCAAGCTGTGTGATTGAAATCAGATCAGCAGCAACTGTGAACATGCAGCCTGTCTGTTCAGTCATGAAATTTTGGGGGCACAAGCAGATTATTTTTCTGAATAAAACTACAGTAAAGTTTCACTTACACCTGTGGAAATTAAGAACTTGGTGTACATACTGCAAACAACGCAGGATTTATACTGGCCTGAGCAAACATTGTAGCAGTACGAGATCGGTGGTGACTGTTTGTATAATCTGCTTGTGCCCCCAAAATTTCATGACTGAACAGACAGGCTGCATGTTCACAGTTGCTGCTGATCTGATTTCAATCACACAGCTTGGTGTTGGCGCGCTCTGACTATATAAGTGCAAAGTACACTCTATTCGTACAAGATATATTTTTTTGCGCATAGTCGTAGTACAATACATAGAGTACGTGGCTGATTAGTCTACCTTACATGTACGTTGCAGTGCTGTGTCGTGCGTCATGTTGCGATGGCTATGCGGTACGGTGCGAAGGTAGAAGCAAGGTGGATAGTTAATAGTGATGCGACTCGCTAAAATCTGCAGCATCTGCAATTCAGCACCTTTCGGCACGTTTGCGTTAAAGGCGTCAAGTTCTAAATAAGAGCCCGAGCGTACGGTAAGGCCTACAGCCTCAACCGCTTAGAATTTTTCAAAACAGATTGCACATCTTATTAATTTTCATGCCGTTATCGATCTGATATGAAATTATGATTTTACGTAGGTCGAATTATGAATTTGAGTGGGCCTTATGTAATTCGTAGAGGTAGTCCAAATGTGCGAATGCAGGGCGCAGACAGCCTATCGCCAAGTCACTGCCTGCCTGACCTCTAAGTATTCATACCCGATTCAAGCCGCACTTTTTACTACTTTACTCGCCTCCGATGCATTTGAAGGCAGGTATATAAACTGTGTTGGTTACAGGATGCGCACCTAATACTGAATTTTCTTTGGATTAAGTACAACTTATCTGTACTTTTAATCAGAAAAATAAGTTGTTTCTGCCCCAAAGTTCGGTGGCTGAACAGACAGGATGCATGCTTGCAGCCGGATTCTTTCTGATCTCAATCAGACAGCATGCTGTTGCCGCGTTCTGCCCATATGAGTACAAGGTACAGTAATCGTACAATTTATATTTGTTTGCGAGTAGCGACGGTATAATACATACAGTACCTATACGTTGCCGTTCAGTGTGTGCGCCGGTACTGTGCGGGTCCCGGTGCTGGGCGATAGCCGGAGCTGGGGCGGTGGCCGCTGCTGGGGCCGGGTTTAATGCGGTGTAGTTGCGTACTATTTGGAGAGAGAATCGATGTGCAGATCCCACATATTACATAGAAAAGTGTTAAATGCCCCTCTTTTGTAGTTGAAGCACGGTATCTGTACATCAATATGATCATATTAATTGCTAATATCCGCTTGTAAATATGCGAGCAACATATGATTCACGACACTGTAGCGCAGCTGTTCCCGGTGGATATGCAGCTCCGTCCCGCCCGGTAGGTATATATTGTTTGTGCTGACCAGTATGTAAATCTAGTGTTAATGCTCATAGGTACAAATAAACTTATCTGTAATATTAATCAAAAAATAAGTTGATTTTGCTTAGGCGTTTGATGACTGAGAAGACAGGCTGCTTCACAGGCAGATGCTGACTGATTTTAATCAGACTTCATACTGTTTTCGCGCGCTCTGTCTATATGAGTACAAAGTATACGTTTTGGCCATACGTGTGCAAAGTACAGTACTCGTACAATATATATTTGTTTGCGAGTAGTGACAGTACAATACAGACAGTACCTGTGCGTCGCTGTGCGGTGAAGTGTGGTGTTGGGCACCGGTCCGGTGTGTGGTGTGGGGAACAGCGCCGTGCGGGGCCGGTACGGTGCAGGGGATGACTGAACAGACAGGTTGCATGCTAACAATCGTTGCTGATCTGATTTTATTCAGAAAGCATGCTGTTGGCTCGCTGTGTCCATACGAGTGTAAGTTACATTACTCGTACCATAATATTTGTTTCCGCGTAGGCTGTTACCGCACGTTCTCAGGCGCTGACAGATACTGCCTGATTTTAATCACACCGCATACTGTTTTGACGCGCTCTGATCATATGCATGCTTGTACTCGTATACGTATATTTTTATTTGCGCGTAGTGACAGTTAAATACATACAGTACCTGACGCTTAAGTACAGTTACCATACCTTTGCGGTGCAGTGTAGTGTCGGACCCGGTGCGGTGTTAAGCTGTTGCTGTGAGTTAGTCACACCGCCAGAAAATGTCAGATTCTTTCTGATTTCAATCAGAAAGCATGATGTTAGCGCGCTCTGTCTATACGCGTGAAAGTACCGTACTCGTACAATTTATATTTGTTCACGAGTAGCGGCAGTACATTACATACAGCACATGCCTGTTTGGTAATGGAGTTGGCTGCGTTCTCTTGCTGTGCGGGAGTCGGTGGATGTGCACGGTACGTACATATTGTTTGTGCTGACCAGTATGTACATCTAGCATTAAATGCTCATATGTACAAGTAAACTTATCTGTAATGTTAATCAAAAAAATAAGTTGATTTTGCTCCAGCGTTTGATGACTAATCAGAGAGGCTGCACGTTCTCAGGCGCTGGCAGATACTGACTAATTTTAATCAGACCGCATACTGTTTTGGCGCGCTCTGATCATATGAGCACAAAGTACACTACTCGTACAATATTTGCATGCTTGTACTCGTATACGTATAATTCTTTATTTGCGCGTAGTGGCAGTAAAATACATACAGTACCTTACGCTTAGGTGCAGTTTACCATACCTTTGCGGTGCAATGTAGCGTTGACCCGGTGCGGTGTTAGGTCGTTGCTGTGTGGAGGCCGGTGAAATACGGTGCAGGTATAAAGTACAAGTACTGTTTTCTCCTTTCTTAAAAAAGTCACTGTGACTCATCGCCACCGCAGCTGAACCATCGAAAGTCTCATGACTGAACAGAATAAATGCACAGTCACCGAGTGATGCCATCTGAATTCACTCAGATTGCATGTAGTTGAAGCGCTCGGGCCATATGAGTGCAAAGTACAATACTCGTGCAGTATGCGTTTTTTTACGAGTAGTGGCAGTGCGGTACATGATTGATTCATCTACCTTACTTGTACGCTGCCGCGCGGTGGGATGTGGTGCTGGATCAGGTGCGGTGCGATGTTAGGACGGTGCTGTGCTGGGGCCGGTGCTGTCCGGGGGCCCGGTGCAATACGGTGCAGTGTGTAAGTACAAGCATTGTTTTCTCTTGGCACTTTCTGAGAAAAGACACATCGCTAGGCACTGACGGCTGCTGTCGGATTTCAATCACACAGCATGCAGTTACCCCGCTTTGTCTATACGAGTGCAAAGTACGGTACTCGTACAATAATACTTGTTTCCGAGTAGCGATCGTGCAATACATACAGTATCTGTACATGGCGGTTCGATACTGTTTACCATACCTTTACGGTAACCGGTGTTGTGTGTAGGCCGTTGTTGTGCGGTGCAGTGTGTAAGTCGCTTTTCTGAGAAAAGTCACATCACTAGGCGCTGCCGGACTCTTTCTGATTTCAGTCAGAAAGCATGCTGTTGGCGCGCTCTGTCTATACGAGTACAGTACCCGTACAATATAAATTACAATATAAATTTGCTTGTATGTAGTGGCAGTACATGGCTGGTCTGTACAGTCTACCCTCCTGGTCGATAGTGTACGCTGTGGGGCCCGGTGATGTGCGGTGCGGTGCCCAGTGCGATGAAGGTGTAAAGTACAAGTACTGTTTCTGAGAAAAGTTTATGTGCCTCGTCGCCAGTTACGCCACCACCGACAGCTGTCCCCGGTCAAATAGCTATGAACGCGCTCACTGAAAGCGAACACATAGTTTAGTTACTCATTACAATCTCTGCAAAATGTCTGACAACCGTGTAGAAATCATAGGAACGTTTCGGGGCTATACAATATATAAAATTACACCAAGAATTATAGCGTTTTGGTGTCCAAAATACGAGTACTGTTTTTTAGTACATGACGCCCAACCGGATGCGTATGGACTAGCACTGGCCAAAGAGTACGGCGTACGGCTACAATCCACACACCTGAATGCATTCATGGAAATAATTTATGGTGGACCGTGGGCGGGGTGTTTGGATCGTGGGTTTAACGGTGATGGCTTGCCAAAGATTGGACTGGCTGGCCCGAGATGTTTACGCCTTGCGCTTAAAATTTATAAAAAACGCGGCCGTATGATCCGTTTTTCCCAGTTTGGCCGCATAATAACATTGCCATATACAGAATTTTTTGCTCTGATGGCGGAAATTCACACAACGCACTGGAAGGACAACCGGACTTTCAGTCGCCTTTTCTTTGTTCGATAATGTGTCCATTATAATGATTTTATATTATAGTTTACTTGTTAAACAATGTGCCGCTGTACCTGCATATACGAATGCTGTCTGAACAATGAATAAAAGAGAGGGTGGGGAAAAATAAACAAAAGAAAGGGAGTAAACTCCGGTTCGGTTCAGTCTTGGGCCGGTCTCGGTACGGTTCGGTTCGGTTCGGTTCTGACCAATCAGAGAAGAGGGCGTGTCTGACCAATCACGTGTCCCTGCTATTCTGCCCCCCATACTACTGATCTGGTAGATCTGGGTGGTCTGGAAGATTTGGTGGTTCTGGCAGATCTGGCTAAATTTGGGGGTTTTTGTAGTTCTGGCTGATCTGGTAGTTATGGTTTATCTGGCTGATCTGGCATATCTTGTGGTCCTAGCTAATCAAGTAAAGACACTAAGGTCTTGAAACTTTCGTACGGGCTGAGCCAGCTGAACTGGTTAATCGGAAATTGTACAGGAACTGTACTAAGGTTTCGAAGCTTAGTAAAGGCTTTGGGCTGAATGCAACGAAGGTTAAAAGGCTGTACAGGCCTGAAAGCCGTAAAGCAGGTTCTGACCAAACAGAAGGTAAGGCCGGCGCTGGCCAATCAGAAAGGTTTGGAGGCGGGATCTGTTCGAACAGAGGGTTCTGCTTTAATATACTAGATAGACAAGCAGGACGCGCGGCGCTTACGCGCCGCGCTGAAGCAGCTTACCGCACGCTTGGCCTTCGGTGTCCAGAGGCTCGAAACGGCGGGTACCGCACGCGGGGCCCTCTGTTACCAAAAGTTCAAAAAAGTGGGTACCGCACGCGGGGCTTTCGGTGATCAAAGGCTAAAGGGCGGGTACTACACGCGCGGCCTTCGGTGCTCAAAGGCTCAGAAAGGCGGGTACCGCACGCGCGGCCTTCGGTGACCAAAAGCTAAAAAAAGCGGGTACCACGCGCGTGGCCTTCGGTGATCAAAGGCACAAAACGTCGGGTGCCGCACGCGTAGCCTTCGTGGACCAAAAGCTAAAAAGAGCGGGTACCGCACGCGGGGCTATCGGTGATCAAAGGCTCAGAAAGGCGGGTACCGCACGCGCGGCCTTCGGTGACCAAAAGCTAGAAAAAGCGGGTACCGCACGCGGGGCTATCGGTGACCAAAGCTCAAAAAGGCGGGTGCTGCACGCGTAGCCTTCGTGGACCAAAAGCTCTAAAAGGCGGGTACCACGGGCGTGGCCTTCGGTGATCAAAGGCACAAAAAGGCGGGTAATACACGCGCGGCGTTCGGTGATCAAAGGCTCAAAAAGGCGGGTACTACACGCGTAGCCTTTCGTGACCAAAAGCTCAAATAGGCGGGTACCACACGCGCGGCCTTCGGTGACCAAAGGCTCAAAAATGCTGGTACCGCACGCGTGGCCTTCGGTGGCCAAAGGCTCAAAAAAGCGGGTTCAGCAGGCATGGCTTCGGTGACCAAAGGCTCCAAAAATGCGGGTACCGCACGCGTGGCCTTCGGTGACCAAAGGCTCAAAAGGTCGGGTGCCGCACGCGTAGCCTTCGGTGACTAAAGGCTAATAAAAGCGGGTACCGCACGTGTGGCCTTCGGAGATCAAAAGCTCAAAAAGGCGGGTACCGCAGGCGTGGCCTTCGGTGACCAAAGGCTCAAAAAGCGGGTTTAGCAGGCATGGCCTTCAGTGACCAAAAGCTCAAAAGAACGGGTACCGCACGCGTGGCCTTCGGAGATCAAAAGCTCAAAAAGGCGGGTACCGCAGGCGTGGCCTTCGGTGACCAAAGGCTCAAAAAGCGGGTTCAGCAGGCATGGCCTTCGGTGGCCAAAGACTCAAAAAAGCGGGTTCAGCAGGCATGGCTTCGGAGACCAAAGGCTGCAAAAATGCGGGTACCGCACGTGTGGCTTTCGGTGATCAAAAGCTCAAAAAGGCAGGTACCGCACGTGTGGCCTTCGGTGACCAAAAGCTAGAAAAAGCGGGTACCGCACGCGGGGCTATCGGTGACCAAAGCTCAAAAAGGCGGGTGCTGCACGCGTAGCCTTCGTGGACCAAAAGCTCTAAAAGGCGGGTACCACGGGCGTGGCCTTCGGTGATCAAAGGCACAAAAAGGCGGGTAATACACGCGCGGCGTTCGGTGATCAAAGGCTCAAAAAGGCGGGTACTACACGCGTAGCCTTTCGTGACCAAAAGCTCAAATAGGCGGGTACCACGCGCGGCCTTCGGTGACCAAAGGCTCAAAATGCTGGTACCGCACGCGTGGCCTTCGGTGGCCAAAGGCTCAAAAAAGCGGGTTCAGCAGGCATGGCTTCGGTGACCAAAGGCTCCAAAAATGCGGGTACCGCACGCGTGGCCTTCGGTGACCAAAGGCTCAAAAGGTCGGGTGCCGCACGCGTAGCCTTCGGTGACTAAAGGCTAATAAAGCGGGTACCGCACGTGTGGCCTTCGGAGATCAAAAGCTCAAAAGGCGGGTACCGCAGGCGTGGCCTTCGGTGACCAAAGGCTCAAAAGCGGGTTTAGCAGGCATGGCCTTCAGTGACCAAAAGCTCAAAAGAACGGGTACCGCACGCGTGGCCTTCGGAGATCAAAAGCTCAAAAAGGCGGGTACCGCAGGCGTGGCCTTCGGTGACCAAAGGCTCAAAAAGCGGGTTCAGCAGGCATGGCCTTCGGTGGCCAAAGACTCAAAAAAGCGGGTTCAGCAGGCATGGCTTCGGAGACCAAAGGCTGCAAAAATGCGGGTACCGCACGTGTGGCTTTCGGTGATCAAAAGCTCAAAAAGGCAGGTACCGCACGTGTGGCCTTCGGTGATCAAAAGCTCAAAAAGCGGGTTCAAGCAGGCATGGTCTTCGGTGACCAAAGGCTCCAGAAGGGTGGGTACCGCACGCGTGGCCTTCGGTGACCAAAGGCTCAAAAAAGCGGGTTTAGCAGGCATGGCTTCGGTGACCAAAGGCTCCAAAAAGGCGGGTTCCCCACGCGTGGTCTTCGGCGACCGAAAGCTCAAAAATAGCGGGTACCGCACGTGTGGCCTTCGGTGATCAAAAGCTCAAAAAGGCGGGTACCGCAGGCGTTAAAGAACTAAAGTTTTGAAGCTTAGTTAGGAGTAAAAATGGAGGTGGGATCGGGTTTATCAGGCGAAGTTTTTCACAGGAGAAGGTATTAAGTTTCGGAAACCTAGTAAGGACAAAGGCGTAAAAGCACAGGTTTAAAGAGCTGCAAAAGCTTAAAAGTTGTTAGGCGGGTTCTGGCAAATCAGAAACGTAAGGTCTTTTCTGGCCAATCAGGAAACGTTGAAGACGGGAGCGTCACGGAATCACGGCTCTGGTTTAATATATAGGATATTCCACAGACCGGTTTTCTTTCGGGTTTTTTCTACACCCGATTAAACAGGATGGTACCTAAAGACGAATATACAGTATACACCGCTAGGCCACCGTTCGACTATCGTGATTGGGAATAATAATAATTCACAACTTCACAGTCAGTTAAACATTGCATCGTCTTTCACAATAGGCTCTCGTCTCCGTGGACATTTTGCACAGTATGAACACTTTGTTTGTTAACTACAACAACAAAAACACTACAGGACATAACATTATCCCCTGTCTCCGATGTATTCTTCGTATCGATATCGATTTCGTGTATTGACGATGAATTTGTCTTTAAAGCACAATATTTGTACTGATCATGATAAAGAAGTACTGTGTGCACGTTAGCATGTCCTCATCGTACGATATGCAAAAGTCTATAACACATCAGGTGTTTTGTGACTCACTCAGCCAGAGCGCATAAGTATGTCTGATAACACAGAAACTGCTAATAGGGCATTGTACACAGATCCTGGAACGAATGAGTTATGCAACCGTTGCTCAGTCAGCTACTACATCGACTTCCACACTGTGGAAGTCGATGTAGTAGCTGACTGAGCACGCGGTGCCTGCGGAGGCGGAGGAGCTCGGGCACGGCAAGCCCACACCACTGCGAGCACGAGAACCAACGTCGTCAGAGCGCTGTCTACGCCGCCTAAGATAATAACTGTATTGCGGTGACTCTCAGATCGCTACATCTCAGCATACCGCTTCATCTTAGCTCTCTGCCGGCTGATCCGAAAAGGCTGGGTTTTGAAAGAAGCTTGCGAATATACAAAGTACATAGCAGGCGTTTAGCACATCAGCACCAACAGATTTGATGTATAATAACCGCTAAAAGCGCGTGTGGAGCCAAGAGTAACTGGCCTGCCCTTCTCTGTGGCTTTTTTGAAAGGGAGCAGGGAGCTGCAGGACACCTGCCCTTCCCTGTGTCTTTTTTGAAAGGGCTCAGGGAACTGCAGGACACAAATACCTACTGGTTGAAAAAGGCGATTTGGACCGTGCTGCAGGATCGTCACAGAAGACGGTCTGCAGGGAAGAATGGGTCTGATTCAGACCGCTTGCCATTTTTATGGCTTTTGGACCGTTCTGCGAGGCTGCGATGTAGCGATCTGAGAGTCACCGCAATACAGTTAATGTATGACATGGGATCCGCCATGTTATCTTGTTAAAGATGTTAAATATGTTAAAGAGTGTATGTTGTTAAATTAGCATTACCTTGTGCAATGCGGATAAGTTTATATATACGTTTCAGTGCGCCGTAGGTATTTGCGGCTACGCTTAATACGATGATACACTTCCTGGTTGCCAGCTGCACGACGAGGCACCCAGGAAGTGTATCACTAATATGTCGGCACCGACATCCAGGTATTCTTCACTATAGGTCCAGGTGAAGAATACTTTGAAGCGGAAATCATTCCCCTGACTTACTGAAAATTTTTTCAGTAAATATTTGCCGAATACCTCTAAGCAAGTTTTGCTGCGCCAGCTCTTAGTAGCGAAAACTTGATCACAAGCATTTCTCGTAATGTTGGCCCGGAGTCTCCAGGGCGACTTTAAGAGAAATGCTCGTGATTGATTTGATAGGACATACTAGCCGACACATGATTAATACTGGATTCGAAATCCTCCACCTGAGTTTTTTCTTAGTACATTAAAAAAATTCTTTATGGTTGTTCACAGAACTCGCCAATTACTATTATAAATTGTCAAT